GACGCGAGAACGTTGACACCCACATCATGCTGCCGATGGCCTCCCTCACCGGCCACTCCCCTCCCTTCTCGTCATCTCGCTTCGGTCCTATGGGGGATTCACTTGGCTCGTGGGATGCCAGAGCCGTCTCGAAGGGGTCTGGTGAGTTGAGCATGAGGTCCACCGTACCCAGCAGGAAGTCCTCCGCCTCTTGGCGCGCAACGTGGGCCTCCTCCGCTCGCTCGGACAGCTACGCTCGCACCGCCCTCGCCTCTAGCCCTTCCGCCGCGTCAAGTACCGCCGAGAGCATCCAGCTGGTGAACTCCTCCGTGCTGCTGACGGGCAGGCTCGCCACCGAGGCGAGCAGGGCTTCGGCACTTGTCGGCGACGGGGGCGACTCGTACCTTGGGTTTCGGCGAGGGCTCTCCCTAGTGCGGCGGCTGGTGAGTTCCGCCGGCTTGTCGAAGCGGGCGAGCCGCCGGGCCTCTGGCTGGCCCACGGAGCGCCGGGAGATCCGTCTTGCTGTCGCTGCCGCCGTCATCGCCGCTGCTGCCGCCGCTGCTGTTGTCGCTGCCGCTGCCGCAGCTACCGCGGCTGCTGATGTCGCCGCCGCTGCCGCCGCTACCGCTGCTGCGGCGGTCGTCCTCGCCGCCGCCCACATCGACCGGGCCGGTCGACGTGGTAGATGGGGCGACGCTCGCGCCCTCCCTGCTCGAGGGGGCGCCATCGCCAGGGTCGCCCGCGCCCGACTCCTGGGGCGCGGCCGGCCCCGCGGGCCCCGGGGCTGCCTTCGTGCCAAGGTTGAAACCTGGTCCTCCATCCACAGGCACTCCCTCCGCCCTCCCTCCACCTCGGCCCGACGCGCCCTCCCCAACCTCGTCCTCCCNAGATGGGGCGACGCTCGCGCCCTCCCTGCTCGAGGGGGCGCCATCGCCAGGGTCGCCCGCGCCCGACTCCTGGGGCGCGGCCGGCCCCGCGGGCCCCGGGGCTGCCTTCGTGCCAAGGTTGAAACCTGGTCCTCCATCCACAGGCACTCCCTCCGCCCTCCCTCCACCTCGGCCCGACGCGCCCTCCCCAACCTCGTCCTCCCCAGTCGCGATTTCCTCTTCCTCCTCTGCGATGGGAGGCAGCGACTGGGGCAGGGCGGCGGGGGTGGCGTCCATATTCGAATTTCACGACCATGACATCGGACGGGGCACCGTCTGCCCGGTTTTCTGCAAGGTACCTCTCGAATGCCTCAGCGGCGTCTGATTCGTGATTCAGGAAATAGACACGGTTTCACCTTGTGTAATCATCCTTGACAATGAGAGTGTACCACTTCCCCCCCACGTTCGGAGCTGTACTGCCTCTAATCCACCAGCGACGAGGCCCAGAGGAGCCTCCAAGCGTTCCATTTTGTGACCAATATCATCGTCAGAGAAGCCGACAAGGTNTGCCCGGTTTTCTGCAAGGTACCTCTCGAATGCCTCAGCGGCGTCTGATTCGTGANCCTCCTCTGCGATGGGAGGCAGCGACTGGGGCAGGGCGGCGGGGGTGGCGTCCATATTCGAATTTCACGACCATGACATCGGACGGGGCACCGTCTGCCCGGTTTTCTGCAAGGTACCTCTCGAATGCCTCAGCGGCGTCTGATTCGTGATTCAGGAAATAGACACGGTTTCACCTTGTGTAATCATCCTTGACAATGAGAGTGTACCACTTCCCCCCCACGTTCGGAGCTGTACTGCCTCTAATCCACCAGCGACGAGGCCCAGAGGAGCCTCCAAGCGTTCCATTTTGTGACCAATATCATCGTCAGAGAAGCCGACAAGGTGATCGTGAACAAATGCGAGACCGTAAAAGAGATCCTCGCGGAACTCGACAAAACCTACGATCCGGAATCGCAGGGCTCGAAACAAGCCCTCATGAAGCAAATGCTCAACTTCACGACCCCCACACACAGCAGCACAAACCCCATCGGGCACCTGTACTCGCTCGAGCTGCTGTAGTCTTGGCCGCTTGGATAAGCGACTTTCTCCACGAGTCATACCCATGGCCGCGACTCTCCCCTTCGAGACGCGGGGCATTGACTGTTACTCTCTTCATGTGGCTACTGCTGTAGCCGTCGAGGTATTCTCCATTTCCTCGAATCACGGGTATCTCACCTGGGGGGTTTAACCCCCTCGCTTCCCCGTAGTCCGGTCCTATGCCCGGGCCCACTCCGGCTGGTCCAACAGGGTTCGCTCCCGATCTGCTGGCCCAGCCGCCTTCCAGCAGCTGCCGTGGTCCTTGCCCACTATCTCTCGCTTGCTGCTGGATAAATCCCCCGCCACCGCCAAGCGGCAGCGGAGGCGCTTGTTGGCCTCCCGTGGCGGCAACCCAGCCGCCATTACTGGCTGCATCCGCCACGACGCTGCCAGGCTCCTCCATTTTTCGACTCCTCCACCAGGGCCGCCAATTGCGAAATCTGCCGATGAAAACTTGCAAGCTCTGTATCGCAGCCCTCTTCCAGCGGCGAGCGGATCTGTTCTCCGCTCGCAGCAGTGGGCACCTCATCTCCGGAGAGCTCATTCCGATGTGGCTTCCCTCGAGGGGCAAAAACTCTAGAGTTTTTGCGGCCTACGCCACTCATTTATCGGGTGAGACTGTTTTGGTTATGTATTAACTTCACGAGAAGTAGACGACCGTCCTTCACACGGGCGAAAGAGGGAGTGCTCAAAGAGCGGCTCCCACAGCAAGGAGGGGCTCTGTGAATCATCGCGGTGCCCCCTACCGAACGGCAATCTTACCAGTCTGCGTGACACCAAATCATCCAGCACATGTATCCAACACCAATGTTCGCGGACCCATGAACATAGGGAAAGGAAATTTTTCAATGGTTGTTTGCCGGAGCTGCACTACTGTACATGCGGCGCCTGCACAATGTGTCCGGCTGGTGGAAGGGTGAGAAGGTAAGAGCGTTGCATCTCGCGGATTCACGACGAGGAGACACAATGGGGCACGGCCGAGGCTTGTATATCGTGATTGGTGTGGGTCTGGCGAGTACCTCCTTCTGAGAATGAGAGTGCCGATGAGAATGTTTCGTGTCTTAGACTAGGACCGCGGAGACTTGGATCAGGGCATCCTCATCGCGACACCCGGGAAGAAGAACGTTTTGTCTACAGGGAATCCTTCATGTAAGTGTGTCTGTACGTCCAATGCCGGACTCACCCCGGGCAGAGCATTGACTGGGGCTGGGGCAAATCTCGCACACGTGTTGCCATCACGTATTTCACCCACAACCAAGGTCAAGCTACTTTGCATCGCCCCATTGGGTACGCATCGCCCTCGTCTGTCGTACGGGCACTCCTCCTCCCCTTGTTCACTGATATGCACCATGATTCCTGTCGTGAACTCATTCCCCACCGTCCACTTCAAAAGTTGACATTTCAAGGACACATGTCCTGTGGTTCAAACAATACTCGGGTTTGTATTCACCCTGCCTCGGGCATGAAGTTCTGCCAACCATGTGCAACATGTGACCAATCGTACTGGAGCCGAAATGGCGGGGCTGTGCTACGTAGTACATGGGAGGAGATTGACGATGTCGCGAGAGTGCTGTTTCGGCTGTTGTTTGTAGACGGTCACGCCCCCAGCCCTTCCAACCAATACATTCAAACAATACTATTAGCGCTCTCGGGAGTCTTCAAAACATCTACGGCACACCTCTTCGCTCTCTAATGCCCTCAATTCTGGGGGGCACGTTACGTCACCGTCCACAGGATGTAAACGGAACCCATTTTGCTACGTTATTGTAACCTCGGAAGACTTCACCATGCCAAGGACACCGCCGCCGCCGGTGTCTGGGCCGCATGCGAATTTCAGAGAAACGTCATTGTGCCGACCGACTAGACTATATAGCTACTGCTTCGATCCTTTGCGCTTCTTGTGTCCCCCGGTCCTGCGATTGGGTCCTTTGATGATGCACGGGGCTTTTGCACCACGGTCGGAGCACCGGCCCTGCCTTTGGAGGACACCGGTGACGCAACAGTATTCTTCACTCAATCCGCGGGGTAGGTTCTCCCTGTATCCAATGCCACCGCACTCACTCTCCGCATCCAAGCTGTTGGTAGAGAACACCCGGAGCACGGGAGGAGGGGGAGAGGGGTTTCGCCAGCGTTACAAGGGGCTTTGAGCCACAGGGATCTTCAGCAGGTCTGAGCGTTCATTCAGCACTAACGAGCAATGCGATTGCTATTTGAAGTTGGCATGTAGACATGTCCTCAAATCAGGACTATTCCTCACCGGGCAACAAACAATGCCGTTGTCGTTTTGGCCGACGCGTCCTTTCATACCCGGGTGGTAGACGTCGCATCTCTTCTGAGGCGGGCTCGGCTTCTTGTTGGGGGGGCTCGGCTTCTCCTTGGGCCGCCTCGGCTTCTTGGTGGGCGGGCTCGGTTTCGTCGGCCGGGAAGGTTTACCTAGAGAATGGAGTGGTGATGAAATGTGCTCGATGTGTGTGATGATAGCTAGCTGTGGATTGCCGTTGACGGCCACACGCGCTGGGCACACGTTCGTTCGTTGGTACGCATCGACGTGCACGTGTACACTACTTCTACTTTCAAATTTGAAAACATAGTTGTAGCGTGTGGCTTTTAGACACTCGACAAGGTACAAACGGAAGTTCGTGGGTCTCATCAGTAGAGCATCAGACGGAAGAGTGTAACGAGAGCGTGTCTCGGGCAGGAACATTGTTCGGAACAATTACATGGGGCAAAGTGGCGCCTGTGTAGGATGAAGAGCCGATGGAAACCAATGTGCTCACAACGAAAAATATTCGCCCGATAACTAACTGCAGTGTACGTCTTGTGAAACTCTGATGCGCATACGCACGATCAGGGTCGCTGAGGAAACAGTGCGGGTTGATGGGTGTGCAGCTGGAGTCAAGCGACAATGTGGGCCGTAGCGGCCACTTGTGTTGTCACCAGAGCCCATCGAGCTTGGTCTATAGCTCTGGTGAATCGAGACGAGAATGACGCGTCCGCTCGACTCGCTAACCAAGGCGATGACTACTATACACGTATGCGATTTTACCCCACGAATGCGTCCTGTGTTGCGGTTCACTACATACTACAGTACGTGCGCATCGTCCGGTTCCTCCCTTTTGGACATGAGAATTCATACCAAGGCGACACGCCACGTGACAAATTGTCGGGCTGCACCATGTACACCGACAGAGTTTCTACTCCCAACCCATGTCGCGAATACTGGTCGTCTAATGTGCTTTGAACAGGCCAGTTTATCCCTGAGTTCGTCCAACCTCAACGGCCATTCTACATACGTCCATGAGTCTTCAAAATCCCCAAGGCATAGCTTCGTTTTCTGATACCCTTAGGGCGCACTACTGTAGTGTAAACCATACTCGTATCACTACGTTCGTGCTGCCTCGAACGTGGACGTCTGAACGTGCGGAGGACACGGCCGTCGGTTTCTCGGCCGCATCTGGAATGACAAAGAAATAGCAAGTTTGGTGAGGCAGATATAGCCGATGTAGACTACTGTTTATTGAAACGGTCGAATTTGCCAGAGGCGTTATTGTTCCTGTATTTCGGGGTATCAGGTTGAGAAGAGTCCTTTTGGGATGGTCACTTTATCGGAGAGTTCACGTGCAGGAGAAGGCTCGCTGGACAGCGTGGAATAGCAGATTTATACAACAGCAGTACGTGAACTCAGAGAGGGATAGCAAGGATTGGCCAGATTGGGAGGCCAAGAAGTTGCGTTCTTTCCCGCCCACCCACCCTTTTTCTTTCGAAGGTGAGGGAACGGAAGGAATGCAACGGGTAGAGTAAATGGTAGAGTACCATTTGGGAACTTGGTCGTCTGAGATGTTCCGTACAGTAGGAAGAGTTCCCCACACCGGTGGAATGAGAAACCCCGGGCTGTTTTCTTTGGGAAGAGAGAGAGACAGTAGAATGAATGGACAGAGACACGGTAGGACAGGCGCAGAGGGCGTCTACAGGAATCGTGTTCTGTCGGCGTGGTTTCTCTCTCTTCCCCGCGTGTGAAGAGAAAACATTAATGCAAAAAGGCAATTCGAAAGAAAAACAATAAATATCACGGTTCCGACCGACTAAGCTTCAAGCCTTTCCCCTTTTGCTCCCTCGACTTACGTTTGGGTCCTCCTTTGATGATGCACGGGGCTTTGGCACCACGGTCGGAGCAACGACCCTGGATGCCGGTGACGCAGCAGTCCTACCCGCTCAACCCGTGGGGTAGATTCTTCCTGCATCCAATGCCACCGCACTGTCCGCATCCCAGCTGTCGGCGTAGAGGAGCAATCACGGCAGGGGAGGTTTGGCGAGGGTTGTCGGTGTCGAAGCGACGGACCTCTTTAACAGGTCCAAACGTGCAGCATGTGCAGGTGACGGACGGATTCGGGTGTACACGGCCGTCACGGGTCACCGCCGTCATGCAATCTAAATTAATCTCGCACAATCCTCGCAGAGTCAACAAGATCCTCACCGGGCAACAGACCGTGCCGCTGTCGTTGTGGTCGACCCGTCCTTCCATGCCCGGGTGGTAGACTGCGCAACTCTGCTGGCGCGGTGGCGACTTGCTCGGCGACGAAGGTCTACCTGGAGATGTGGTGGTCATGGAATGAAGTGCTCAAGAGGTGTGCTTAATCGCACGTCTGACTGTGTGGCCACATGAACGGCGAAAACAGCGACCCTAATCATTGGTGTGGAAGCGTCCGTGATTCGACATGGGAAGAACCACAAAGAGCCCGTGCAGAACTGTGAAATTGGCGGGCTCTGTGAGAGGTGGCGTGAAGGTCATGGGCTACAGGGGCACCAGCCCCAAGTGAATTCGCGGCAAGTCATTACCGCGTTACGGCACGGCCCGGTGTCTGCGCACAGAAGAACGTGATTGCCGCGTGGTGCTATATGTGGAAGTGCACGTCTTCCTCAACCACTTTCATTCACCACCGGCCACGGAAATGTCGAGCATGGCCATCACCAGAAGCTTTCGCCATGATGACGAACTGACACGTGCCATGGCTTTTCGATTCTAGCAGTTCAAAGTTCGAGGGAAATGCGGAGGGCGGGCGGGGGGTTTTCGAGTCGCCTGGTTGTAGACGACCTCCGTCACCCTGCCAATGTGGGGGCTTCCATGCACGAGCAGAGGCGGTGCGTGAATGCAAGTCTGCACATGCACAACAGCTTGGTTGGGTTGTGTCGAACTGCGGGGAACGTATTTAGGATGGCGCACACTTCCTCCCGAACGTTGGCGACGCACAAATGTGCTTCGGCGGAATCCATCTACAGCCAACGATCTCCATCTCAGCAGCGAGTGGGCAGCGATGTACGGACAACCGCGCACGTCTTTCAACTGTTTTCCCTAACAGCTCATGAACGCGCAGCATCAACAGAGGGTGCCGCGATTGCTTGGACGTCTTCATCTGTTCTCGTTGAATCACCGCTTTCACAGCCGTTCCGCAAGAATGTCGCTGTTGTTCGGTGTTGAACAATCTCTCGTGCTTTGCCGTCTCCCTCGTTTACGTTCACCGTCCAATCGTTGTGGCGGACCCGATTTCGATTAGCTGCTATATGCAGTACACGCTCTCCGCATGTGTGCATTACATCTCTCACCATTTGGCTTCTTGCCGTCGCCCGTGTGCCGTTTGCCGTACGTCAATTAGGTGGGGGTAGGACTTGAGTGTTGTGTGTGAGTGAGCCAGGGGATGCTGGAAGGAGGTGGCGAGCATCGATGGATCTTTATTCGCGGTACGAGGGGTTGAACCGACGATTGTTCCATTGATTAAGATGACCGCTTGAACCGAATTATGGGACTGTCAGTTGCCCGGTTGAAGCAAGCCACGGCTTGAGCCACGGCACCACTTCACAGGGTACCTATCACCGAATGAAGTGTAGTGGACGTTTCTTTCGAACTGTTCTAGGAACAAGCCTGTGTCCTGCGCTTAAGCAACGCATGTTATCTGTATTGTTCATCTTTGGGGGCCAACCTTGCCAGTGTAGGTTGTTGTCGTTAGTGTTGTCCCCCTCGCCCCTTGGGCATTCTTGAGACTTCGCCGATCGGGCCACGGCGTGTACCGCGTCGTCATGTAGGGAGACATTGTTCAGCACGTGGTCAAGACGAAATGCACAGGAGACGGCTTGTTTGTACCGGTACCATATGGACGCGTTCTAAGCAATTCATTTCGATCGTAGAACAAGCTTGCTGTTGTTCCGTGTGCTAGAATGCATGAATCCTTTTCACCTTGACAAGATGACAAACGTATGACCATGTCATCAAGAGTTCGACGACCGCGCCTCAAATTCCGTGAAGCGATTAATTTTGCTGCAGCTTCTTCGAGGGTATATCTTATGCCCATCCGCCCACAGCCGACCCTGATTCTAGTTGCACGCTGTCGACAGAACGCACCCCTCGAGGCGAGAGCTGGGAAGTGTTGTCGTAGCCGTCCTCGACGCTGACACAACACCTCCGAGACCTGAGCAGGGTCCTCGTCTGCGCAGGGACGTGGTCACCGTTGATAAATGCCGTTGCTATGAATAAGAACCCGTGTTCCTACAGCAAACCTCATGGGATCGGATTCCCCGGCAACGTTCAGTAGCAGCGATTTGCTGGCCACCGCGCAGACAATGGGTGCCGCGCTGTAGGTTCGCACGTCAGGGGAGGGAAGGGAAGGCTAAATCGTTCAGCCACAAAAAAAAAACTTCCAACCTAAAGCATCACAGGAGGAAAGGCCGACAAAACACAAAAAAAAGGTCCTGGTGCGTGAAAAATATACCGAAAGGTGATAACCGGCGCCCAGAATAAAAACCCTTTTGACAGGGTAAAAAAGATTCAACAGACAATGCAAGAGTATAACACGCTTGGGTTCACCCGCGTGCGCAATCTCTCTTGAGACCTGTATTCTGGCCCGCTCTATCCACTCAGAAAACTGTCGAGTTCAAACCCCGATGCATATACACCGCAATCAACACCACAGTGAAGACCTCGCGACCGTAGAAAACCCTTCTGTCTTGCGGATAAGTACCCCCTATTTTCGGCCTCCGCGGGACGCCTGGAAAACATTCGTTCTGCCCTGCTTTTGTTTCGCGCGCGCTTACGACGTGAGCGTTTGCAGCAACGACAGCGCGTCCGGCGAGCGCACGACACGTCGAAGCCGGCCGTACGCCCTGCCGCGCCGTACCCCATGCTGCGTGTCGGGGGTCGCTCCCCCCTCCCAGCCCGCAGCGGCGGCACCCTCCTTGCCCTTGCACATTTTTCTGCTGAACCCGTCGAAGCCTCCTCCCCAAAAACCGGCAGTTTCCCTGAGGGCTCTCTCCACGTCCAGCTTGCAGCGGGCGAACCCGCGGTCCTTCCTCGCGAAGGCGCCGAACACCTCCCTGAAGGCGTGGAGGCCAAGCCAGGTCACCTCGAAACGGTGGATCTGGAAAAAGCAAGTACGCAAAGGGGGGGGCGGGGGGGGGTACTCATAGTCGTGCATGCTGTCGTTAGACCATTGACCTCGCATCCCCACAAAGCCGGAACGAAGCACACCGGGTCCTCACCGGACCAGACTATTTTTCCCGACCTCGAGATGCAATCAGTTTCCCTTCCCAAGACTGTCGCATCTTTGGGGACCGAAACGGAGGGCCACCGCTGCTCCTGTGAGCCACAGCACTTCCAGCTTTCCGAGTAATCATCAGGTTTCACCGTCCATTCACCGTAAGGATGCGAGTCAGCGCACAGGGGTGCGAACGATTTTCAAAGCGTAATTTCTATACAAGCAGGAGGGTGCGAGCGCATACAGATACTTCTCAGGAAAACTCTCGATGAGATATTTCCAAAACCGCCCTTTTCGACAGCGGTAACCTCTCTGGTTGTGGATAAGTTACGCTTTGAAAATCGATCGCACCCCTGTGCCCTGACTCGCAACCTTACGGTATCCATCATAGAAGGCGGCAGTGGGTGCTCATGAGTGTTCATGCTGTAGGTTGTTGACCACAGCGATGGACTTGGGATGCATGCAAAGCTGAGCAGGAGAACACCGGAATATCGGGGGTGAGGGAGGGGGGAAGTAGTCTGCGCTTCGGCGCTGCGCCAAAAAGCGCGAAAACGTTTCTTGGGCATCGCCTTAAGTCCGCGGGAAGCCGCCGACGCAGAATGTGCCTGGCGCCGACAATAACAACCAATCGCGCCGTTCGTTTTCGGCGCATCCCACGGGGCCCCCACAAAAACATTCACCAACACCCCTACCAGATCCAGTCTGCTTTGGTCCGCTGGCCTCTATGCAACTTGTCTCCGTCTGCTCAATGGGCCCAAAATGTTCCAAGTACACCATAGAACCTACATCAACTGGTAGGACAACCTTCGGAACCTTGGGACGCCCGGTCCTCTTGCAACTGTACTACTGCTGGGAATGGCACTCGCAATAGGTTCGGAAGGATTTGGTTTTCCGTGTTGCAAGCCTGTGACAAAGAAAAGTTCCCGGGGTTTTACATCTCTCCATCCCTCGCTCTCTGTCTCTGCCTCTGCCTCTGTCTCTGTCTCTGTATCTCTGTATCTCTCTCTCGCTCCCTTCCTTCCTCCCTCTTCCCTCCCTCTTCCGTCCACCCCCCCTTCTCGTGATTGCTATTTTGGCACGCGCTAAGCCAACGTTGCTCGCACCTTGCAGACGCACCGCACCCCTCTGGAGGTGCCGAAACTCCCCTTGCGCCTGTTGGAGCGGCTCTGGATCAGGCTGTAGGCGTAAGCCGTCGTCTCGAGAGCACCGTTCGACAGCAAGGAGGCGTTGCCAGCAGGACCACGAGGCAAACGGAGAGCGGAAGTGGCCGTTTTGGCCGCACACACCAACAGCATCTCGTACCTGAAAGAAAAAAAGGGGGACGGTCACACCGCAAATTGGAGGAACCCAACGATGGTTCATAGCTCCCACGTAAAGAGTGAACAGGAACCTTCGTAGAATGACATCAACAAGCGGCAGTCGAAGAATCATGACTAAATGCACATCGCCAGTTTGCGGAGCATGGACCGCCTGCCTGTCGACCCCGTGACCACTTCGAGAAAGCTTGAACATAAGAGAGCATGAACCATCAAGTCATCTTGGTGTTACTGTTTCACACGTAGACAAACCATGGCCAAATCGTATTATTGACCGACTTGCACCCCTTTTTGACGCTAAGGTGGGGTGCCCTGAAGGGGCAATCTGTTCATTACAAACACTGGAAGTGAACCTTGAAGGAAGTAGAAGTTCGGCGCGTACAGGGAGGTACACAAGTCCGTCTGCCACTAACTGTGCACGTATTTTTCGTTTACGAAGCTTTCATCTCCAGCGCAAATTCACAGCTGCCACCTCAGAAGTTGAGAGGGCGGCGGTATTTTTTCAGGGGTTAGGGTTAGCTTGTCAACGCTTTGTGGGCAGCATAAAATGTTCACCTCAAGGCGCGGTGGGATGCGATGTCTTCAATGGCCGGGCGAGACGAGAAATCCACCGCTCCAACAATGTGGCGCAAGTGTAGCAAGTTGCACCCAAGCACCATCCAAAAGCACGCAATCATGTAGCACGATCCACTTCGAAAGCAAACATTGGTGTTCTCAATTACGACAACAGGCGTAGCTCAGCAGCAGCGGCGGCCAAAGCACGCATGCGAACAACGGGAATTGTGCTCGAACGAAAAAAATAAGACGGCACGTGTGTTTTCCAGAAAAAGGCGAACTTGTGGTTTGGCGATCAGGAACAAAACTCACACGTTGAGCAGCACGGTGTTCCTAGAGTTGATCCCGAGGTGCTCCCCCTCGTCGAGCATGAGGGCGTGGCACTTAGGCGACAGGAATCGCTTCATCTTGCCCACCAGGCACGCGCCGGCGCGCCTCGAGTCCACCGTCAACGACTCTGCCACCCCGGTCTTTGAGTACCTGGACGCCGGGGCGGGTGGCAATGTCAGCGGTCGTGGTGGGTGATGGCGGGAGAGCGGGCGATACCGGCATTCGTAGTACCAACATCGGCGCAACTCCCAGAGAAAAAAATAGCGACGGCATATGTGTCTTTCACCGTTTCAACAGTGAGTGGCTTCGAGGCTGCGTTTAGAACTGTTGTCCCATGAAAAGTCTGTGCGCGATGGACCTATCACAAGGGAACGTGGATGAAATCCTACTTCTGCTTGGAGTGTGCCGGCGAACCTTCCAAAATGCGGTAACCCTTCCTTTGAATGAGAGATTGGCTCTTTCGCGGTTACAACGCCGTAAATGCGCGTACAGTTGCGGTCCCTGTTTACTGTGCCGGTACACATGTGCCCAGAAAATCACCGGCACTATTCCAGACCGTGATTGTTCCAAAGCTGACAACGACTTGGAAATTCAGTGTGTGCCCGCCGGCAACACCGCCACTATCCCGGGTATTAGCACTATTCAACCGCCACTAAACAGGAACACCCACTGTATTGCAAGAGAGCAGTCAAAATGAATCCGGCCAACTCGGTTGTGATCACGTTCTTCCGGCCAGCGTTGGCAGCCTCCGGAAGAAGCCTTGGCGTGTGTGCTGCTGTGTACCTGGAGTAGTTGGCCATGACTTCGCACGTCCGGGTGTCGAAGCGCACGCCGCACCAGGGGAACATGTCGCCTTCAACCCGTCGTACCTGACACAAGACAGCAAGGCGAATCGCAGCCAACAGACCGCGGGAGATTGTCGCGTACCCCCCTGGTGGTTCAAGTTGTGGGTTGTTCCCTCCGCGGGGCCTCGACGGAAAGGTATCGTGCCATGTACACAGGGTACGGCTGAGAGGGGATGTGTGCATCGAACGCGAAACTGCCACGACGTCGATGCGCGCGTGTGTGCAAGTCACAAGACAGCAATGGAACGAATCGTCGCCAGCTCAACGTTGCTGGTCAGCATGATATCGGGCTCGGATACATAAACCCAGCAAAATAAACAAAAGGCATAGTGGCACTTGCAGCAGGATACGCACGTACGGAAAGGAATCTGAAACAGGAACGTGTTTCTCGTTGGACTCGCAATGCCGGCACCTCGTAGAGTACAAACAACGCCGCACACTTTCTCTCTCAACAAAGCAGCACTGGTTCTGGGCTTCGTGTCTATTATTCAAAGGCCACCAGCCTAAACTGAAGCATCCACCTGTCTCCGAACGGGCTGTCGTCCTGGCCCGCCTCCTCCTATTCTGCTCTCCAAGACCATGTCGAAGTTTACCAGTGTCTGGATAGGCAATGACGAAGAAAATATATACAACATTAAAAAAAACGAAGGAGGTGCCCACCGGGCGTCAGGTAATGCACCCCGCGCCGCAAGAAGTCATGCCCCTCTGGGTTCCGCAAATACCCGGGGCGTGCCCTATTTTTTCGATTTCCCCGATGGGAATAAAAACAAAATCCGGCCACTTCCGGCCACTTCCGGTCACTTGCCACCAATAACACCTACGAACTTAGGTTAACTAAGGAAGAATATAAATACGTGTTTCCATCTTTAGGTGAGTTGTGAGTGTACTGTATCAAGCTATTCTTTCTCTACCGGTTGGGGTAGTGCGGCAGACGAGGGTACTGCTTAGGGATCAAAGAGTTGTCAATATGGGGGACAACAGCAGCATCAACGACGACGACAACCACAACCCTCGCCGAGAAATTTCAAACGCGCGCGAACTCCTGTCTGCGGTGAGACGTGGTAGAAATATAAACTGGATAGAATGAACCTCAAGTCAACCGGACAGAGGGCTTATCGCGTCACCTTCGCTTGGTGCACACTAAAGCCCCAGTCTCCCGTCTTGACCTCGTCGTGCATCACTCTTACGAAGGACTCGGCCTTAGCCTTGCTCGTAGAGATCTGGGCGGCCCCGTGAGAGGAAAACGCGATAGAGAGGTCGAGGCATCACCTCTCGTAAATTTCGGTGTCACCAAAGGCATTTGTTTTCAAGTATTGGCATGTGATGTTGAACCCCTCTGCGGTGCTTGCAACTGCAAGTTCAGCAGTTCTTACCGTCGTTTTTGTGTCACACGACGTCATCACTTTTTTCACAATAGGTTCACACCAAAGACATTCGAACCCAACACCTGGGAAAGTCAGAAGGCTCCGAGGTTGCACCGTAACTGACCAACCGGGGCGACCGGCCCGAAACCTAACGAAACAACAAGAATACCCAACCCTATCCTCACTCACCAGGAGGAAGTCGTCCACCTGGCGCAGCAACGTGCAGTCGCCCTCAGGATCGGGAAACGGGCGCTCCTCCCCACTCTCTTCCTCCACGGGGCTTCTTCCTCGCTGCCCATCGTCAACATCACCACCGAGTCTGCAGCGCTCGCCCCCACGCGCGCCGCCCACGGGCCCATACGAGCCATGTCCTCTTCCGTTTTGGTTAGCGGTGTTCCGGCGTGACTGCTGTTGTGGCGTTTCGTGTGGCCCACGGTTGCCGTCACTGCCGCCGCCGTCGCGGCCGGTCGGAACCCCAAGCACGCCCCCGCGCGACGCTCGATCGGAGTCCGGTGCAGCGGCGTCGCTCAAACAGGAACAAGAGGGCGAAATGCGGGCGAACTTCGGCGGTCTTTCACCTTCTGGTTCTCGTTCTGGTTCTGGTACTGGTTCTGGTTCTCGTTCTGGTTCTGTTACTGGTTCTCGTTCTCGTTCTCGTTCTCGCTCACCCGGCCTAGCGCGCTTCCCTCCCGTGGGGGGGCCGAATGAAGATGCAGCGCCTTCGTCTTGACCACCACTACCGGCACCAATACCGTCGCTACGACTCTCGAGCCCAACCGCTCTCGATGACAGTCCTCGCGCTCCGCCGCCGCCGGGCGGGAGGTGGGGCCGCTCAGGGACGCCGCCGTCGAGAACGTCGCCCAGGAGGCGTTTTTCGATGTGGCCAAAGAAATAGTTGCACAGGAGGCCGGAGAGCACCGAGCCTTGCGGGATGCCCACCGCCTGAGACAGAAGGGCGTCCGTATGTATATATTCGAGTTGGAATGGGCGGTCTGCGAGATTGTGAGGTATGCGGGAAATGGGAAGCCCGGCACTTGCTTCGCGGAAGGGCGCACGGGGAACCGCATCGGGGTGTAGGGTATGTTGGAATAGCGCTGCCACGGACACGCCTAGTGTTAGGAGTGGGAAGGCGGACGTGAATGCTGAGAGGGCAGCTGTGACGGCGGAAGAGCGGGCGCTCGCTTCCGAACAAATCGGCTACTCTTATCGCCAACACAGCAGCAGACTTGACAAGAATATGACAAAAAAAATACAACTGCAAGGCCGTTCCCGAAAGCGGGGGCAAGGGTAGAGGCGAGATTTCTCTTCGCCATTCCACCACCGAATGGTGTTCATACATAAGCAGCTTGAGGTTTTGTGCCCCCCCCCCCCCCCTCGGTGTTTGCCATCGGGGTTGGGTTTTCGTCGCTTGGCAACGACGTTGTAAAACAAGCC